TGTACCGAATGTACACACAGCTACCACTTTGGTAAATGTTCCGGAGTTGCGAAGAAGTCTTTTTCCGGAAAAAATGAAGCCGCAAAAAAGTCGTGGCGGTGTCCACAATGCAGGAGCAGTGCATCCCGCGCTAGCGGCAGCGAGGACAGTCAGAGTGAACTAGATATTAAATTTCTTCTTGCGTCTATCAACAAGAAGCTGGAGAGTCTACCCAGTCTAAACGAAAAAGTAGACCGCATGGAACAGTCAGTACAGCACATGTCAAATAGGTTCGATGAACTTGAAAAACAACTGAAACACCAAGCGACTGAAATTAAAGACCTAAACAAGAAAGTGAGAGAATTGGAGAAAAAGGATGAGACGAACAGAGCGATAAGGGATCAGCTCCAACAGGCGGTGAATGAGCTTGAGTTTCGAAGCAGACGGCTCAATTTGGAAGTCCACGGGATTACTATGACTCAGGGTGAGAACCTGCTTTTCATACTAAATGAGGTGGCCGATAAACTTGAGCTCCCTCATCTAACGGAGTCTGACGTTGTATCTGCTCATAGGTTGCCCGCGAAACAAGGGCTAGTGCCTGGAATAATTGTCCATTTTATGAAACAACAGAGCAGGGACGCGTGGCTGAAGCGCAAAAGCAAACTTAAGAACAGTGCCCAGCGGATTTTCATTCAGGAAAACTTAACCCGATACAATAGAGAGCTTCTTCGGGCGGCGAAAGATCGGGCAAAGGAAAACAGCTATGCCTATACATGGTGCACAAATGGAAAAGTTCTAGTTCGGAAAACTGAAGGAGCACGTCCTATTCACATAAGAACCAACAGTGACCTTTATCAGATTAAATGAATTAATTTTGCTGATGTTTGAGGGGAAACTTTTAAATGAACCCACTCCGTTATTATTTGCCGAATGATGTGAATGGACTTGTACCTCGATTTTCACCCCTTTCATTGAAATGTATACATCTTAACACTAGGTCGGTAAGAAATAAATTTTTGTGTTTAGAAGAGTTTTTAACTGAATTTTCGTTTCAATTCTCCGTTATTATGCTAACCGAGACTTGGAGCACAAGTGACTTTGATGTTTTTAGATTGCCGAACTATAGAACCTATTATTTAAACAGAACCAGCAGCCGAGGTGGCGGGATTGCGTTGCTACTTTACAATAGTACTGAGTGCACGTTGCTTGATTGTTACAGTGCAATTACTCCTGATTATGAAGTACTTTCGCTGTGTTCGGGCCAGACAGTGTTTTCTGTTTGCTATCGACCACCAAACGGAGATGTTTTAAAATTTTTCGAATTCTACGATCAATTTCTTGCATTTGTGACCGAAAATGGAAAACTGGTAATTACAGGAGGGGATTTTAATATAGATATGGTTAATAATAGCCAGTCAGCCAGAGATTTTGACGCACTTATATTATCAAATGGTTTCATTAATGTGATTAGCGTACCAACAAGGGTCACAGCGGATTGTCTATCCGTCCTTGATCTGTTCATTACAAACTGTGTGAAATCTAATTATGAAGCGGGAGCTATATCGTGTTGCATTAGTGACCATCTTCCTGTGTTTCTTTACGTTGAAAAAAATGGGCCAGCGGTAAACAAATCATCCGAAATACTTTACCAGTCAATTACGGAGACAGCACTTAATGCGTTCCAGGATGCAATCTTGCATGTGAATTGGAGCTATATAAGCAATTTAAAAGAGCCAAACGAGATTTATGATACCTTTTTGAGCAGTTTTAAACATTTATATTGTACTCACTTCCCTGTAAAAGTGCGTAGGCTAACTGGAAAAATTCGTAAGCCGTGGATCACGCCTGAATTACGGAAGGAAATGAAAATAAGAGATAACTTGTATAAAAAATTTCTAAATACTCGCACACCCGATGATTTGACCATTTTCAAGCAGTATCGAAACAAAATAACAAAGAAACTACGATGTGCGCGAACTGAATATCACTCCTCATTTATAAACGATAAGAACTGTAGACGTGACGTGATGTGGTCTAGATTAAATTCAGTCCTGCACCGCAGTTCCTCACATGCCCCCCTTTCAAAACTGCAAGTCAGTGGAAAAGAATTATCCGGAAGAGAATTAGCTGACGCATTTAATGATTTTTTTACAAGTATGGCTGTCGGTGATGACTCGCCTGGCACGTGTTGCGATTATGTAAATATACAAAATGACAGATCTATGTTTTTGCATCCTATTACCGAGGAAGAAGTGATAACAGTAATCAAAAATATAAAAAACAGTAACAGCTGCGATATCGACGGCTTACAAATTAAGCCCGTGAAGCACGTAGTTCACATCCTTGCACCAATTCTTGCTAAAATATTTAATCAATGTATATCGGCTGCTGCTTTTCCAGAAAGGATGCAAGTTGCAAGAGTAACTGTTCTTTATAAAAAAGGGGAGCGAAATAATTTGGCTAATTATAGGCCAGTCTCTATTCTGCCCATTTTTTCAGAAGTATTTGAAAAAATTTTACATTCAAAACTTTCGAACTTTATCGATAAATGTAACTTGTTAACCCCATACCAATTTGGCTTCCGTAAAAACAAATCTACTGAAATAGCATTACTTGAACAAAAAGAATACATACTTACACAGTTTGAAAGCAAAGATATTGTTGTTGGTATATTTGTGGATTATTCGAAAGCTTTCGATTTGGTAAATCATAATACATTGTTAAAAAAGCTTGCATGCTACGGTATTCGTGGACAGGTGTTGTTGCTTTTGAAGTCGTACTTATCTCATCGAAAGCAGGTCGTTCAAATAAATAATATGTGCTCCAAAGTTCAACCCGTCCTTTGTGGCGTGCCTCAGGGTAGTATACTGGGGCCGCTACTTTTTAACATTTATCTTAATGACATTGTGAACATCAACCCTACTGCCAAATTCATAATATACGCGGATGACACAAGTATTTTCTTTTCTGGTAATGACATCCACAAACTTGTAGACAAATGTAATTTTACAATGAAAGCAATAGAAAAGTGGTCAGTTTCTAATTCCATGCAGATAAATGAAGTAAAAACTAAAGCAGTCATATTCAGACAAAAAAACAAGACAATTCCAGTACATAAAGATATCGTCCTAAATTCACGTTCTATAGAAATTGTTGAACATATTAAGTGCCTTGGCGTCGTATTTTCTTCCACTATGTCGTGGGATAGCCACATACGCCATATAGTAACTAAGATAGCCCAGATCACAGGCATTATAGGTCGTATTAAATACCTTCTTTCCACAAAAAGTAAGTTACTCCTTTATAATTCGCTCTTCTACTCTCATTTAAACTACTGTCAATTGGTATGGGGAACAACAACAATTTCAAACCTTCAACGTGTTCATATATTACAAAAAAATGTCTTCGTCATATTTACAATGAGCCTTATGGAGCGCCAAGTACTAACTTGTTCCATCGCTCCCATGTGATTAGTGCATTTAATTTGTATAAATATCGATTAAGTACCAGGTATAAATTAGAAACACGAAACAATATTACTAACTTACGTGATCTGGCTCATCTTCAAATAAAGAACATAATTAGTTACTCAACAAGACATAGAGAAAATTGGGTAGTGCATACACCTCGTTCGAACTATGGAAAAGATTGCCTAAGTTTCATACTGCAGTCTTTATTAAATGAATATCATCTTGTGCATTTTGATTTATTTACCTGTAAGTACAGTGAACTCCGTAGAATGTATGAACCTGACAGAGTATGATTTTTTACGGTTTATTTTTTGTTTATTTGTGTGTGCCCTAAACATTTATGATCACAATGTTTTTTTGTTTTGTTCTTTGGTGAGTGTGTTGTTGCAATGTATTGTTAAGATTACTTTCCTTCCCGCCTTTTTCTTTTGTTTTTCTCTTTTTTTCTCTCTCTTTTGTAAGTACTTTAGCAAGATGCTGCTTAGCTGCCAAAACTAAGGGTCTGTGGACTCGTCAAGCTGCAATGCTGCAGCTTTTTTCCACAGCTCCTTCATCTTTGTACAAGGTGAAAATAAACTGATTTGATTTGATTTGATTTTGATTTGTTATGTAGGAGGTGTTAATCAAACTATTGCCTGCCAGACTCTTCCCAGGAAGATAGATGAGCCTGACCATATGACTGATTTAGTTCCCCTGATTTCCGCCAGAGCTCCGCTGAGAAAATTGCGTGCAGTTGTGCAGTCTGTTAAAGGAATGGTGAACCGAAATTTGAATTTCACAAAGTAAGGCTGCAGAAGCGTTAAACGGGACGCTACAAACTCCAAAACACCACTCATACATCAATATCGCAAACAGATATGGCCGTATTTTGTTAAAAGACGGGCGCGATCAAGTGAGGGTTGTGACGTCACGATTCTTCCTGGACAGTGGAGAATGTGAGGAAGCGGCCTTGCTTCCCTCCTCCTCGCTTCGGTTCACCTGCCCGAGGGGACGTAGCGAAGCGAAGAGGGAATGAGAAGCGTGACGGTGAAATGTCTTGTCGGCCTTGTTCAATCGTGCACCTTTTTACCAAAACTACGGTCGTCCGTTAGAGATATCGCGGTATAAGTGATGTTTTCATGTTTTGCAGCATCCCGCCCACCGTTCCAGCCTTATTTTGTGAGCTCCAAATTGTGGTTCAGCATCCCTAGACAGAGAGGAGACCAACTCTATCTGAATTCTTCCTTTCTTTTTGAAAAAGAAGGAAACCGTCGTTCTTTTTGCGGGGAGTAAATCAGAGACCCGCTCCTGGGGATGAAGAGGAGAGAAAGGTGCGAGAAAGAATGGAGAGAAGGAAATGGGGAACCGCTTTTCTTCATGGCAAAAGACGATTCTGTAAGTCGGCCTTTAAATAAGGTTAATATAAATTCAGGGGGAAAATGTATACCTGATTGTTAAGAAACTATATCACAAGTCACCGTTCTGTTACTTAACGGTGCTTACTTTTAATGTCCCTTTAGAAATCGCTGGGATATCAAGAAGTAATGTAGTTATGCTTGTCATCTGACGCAGGTGGCGCTACTGGACATCAACGAAGGACTGGGGACGAAGGCTGCCACCAGACACCAGAAAGAGCACGGGAAAGAAAGCTGCGTGTTCTATAAGTGTGACGTCACCAACGAACCCCAACTGGAAGGTCGGTGCCGCGTGGTTCCAATTCCCAGCATCCCGATGATTGTGTGACGTATGCCTGTCATGGAGCTGCAGTTCTTTTCTGCTCCCGTCGGGTGCAATGATAGTAAGCTGGAACGCTTCTCCCTTTACGTAAGCTTACTGTCACAGGTGAAACCTTAAAGTAGCGGTGACACTGCTATACTACATCGTGCAAAACACAGTCTGAAGACACTGACCGAGACGTGTTTCTTCCATGTTCGACGGTTCCGGCTGTCACATCGGTCGTACAAGAAAGTGTCTTTAGACATTTTCGAATCACAGGCATATGTACGCCGAAGGCTTGTCTCTGCAGATAGTACTGTCATCATGCGTGCCACGTTGAATCAACCCGAGACTTGGATAGAAGAGAAACAGCAAAACATAAAAGGGACAGAAGACAAACAAGACCCGTTTTACTCGTTTATTTAGTCCACCCCTTTATATTGTCCCATACTCAAAATCATCACCACCTTAGCGCCACAACCATCACACAAGAAAGAATGGGGATATTACAGGTCGACATGCTAAGTTAACACCCATCCTCCTTCAAACTTGTACAAAAGGATCACTCTCCCCCTCTGCTTCAAACACTCCAGTTCTCACTACTAATTAAAAGAAAAACGCCCTCTGAAAAACGCCCTTTGTGAGCGTGAAAAATGCATCCCTTTCGGCCCTCTTTTGTTGCAATTTATTTTTGACAGCAAAGTGCTTTGTCGTTTCACATGCGGCGAATCGCGCGGCGCCGTCAAAACTTATCGTAAGAACAACTACAAAAAACTAGAACTATACATTCTAGTCGCATTCGTTCTGTCGCGCGCGTGCCCCACAAAATAGTTCACTTTTTTTTTTTTCTTGTTTTTTTAATTGTGGTACAATACTTTCTCAATGTCCTCGGGAACATACATGTACCATGAAACACAAAACATAGCGGGAAAACACGATAATTTAGCCGCCAGCACCGTTTGAAACTGCGCCTACGCAGGCTGCGCCTATTGAAATCACAGTCCACTCGGTTAGGGTTAGGAGGGACGCCGGTGAGAGTCTAGCCTCAAACTCAGTGACTGGGCTCGAAAACGGTTTGTTGCCCCTGGGGTCCAGTGTTTTTTGGAAAGGAAGAATTACTTCATTCAGTCTCTCATTTGCAAAACTCAATGGGAGATTATCCTCTTGGCTACGATAGTGAAATGCGGCTCAGATTGAAGACGAGCACTCCGTAAGCGCTCGATTTGAGCTCGTGACAGTCGTTGCTTCGGCGAGCATTCGAGCAGTGGCTCGTGTCCGGTTGCTGAAATGATGGAAATTGCCGAACCGCAACGATATATGGAAATCGGCACGTTTCTTGTTCTTTGCTAAGCTCCACGCATGGCTAGTGAACATTGTCGCAACGTGTATAATCGGCAAGATCACGTGGCCCCAGCATGTTCCGGCTACAAGTTGAGGGGCAAACAACACAACGTTATCGAGGAGGCTCGTGCTGGACGCGGGAAAATTCAAAAGAACTCACTGCCGTTCTGATCTTGTCAGTTAATTATTCTTATCTAAGAGTGTCAGCCCCCCGGAGGATATCTAATTCGTTATCGCACGCTTCCACGTGCTTTTCTCTTGTTGGGCGGCTTGAGACCCTAAAATATTTACCGCCCCTTCAATGTAAATCGTTAGGAAGATGAAAGGCTATGTGAGAAAAGGAAACTTGCCGTCAATCTTTCGGCTCCTCCCCCTACTATGTCATTACCTAAAGATTATTTGTGTTGGATTAGTCTAGCGACCTGTGGAGCCGGCGTCTTTCGAGCAGAGCCGTCAGTGTAGAACTTTGCGAAGATGAATCGTGGCATCTGCGTGGCTTTCTAATAAAGATAAACTACGCATCAATCTTTAGGCTCCTCCCCATACTACGTCGTGAAGTATCTTTGTGTTTGAGCAGTCTAGCGATCCGTGGAGATGGCGCTTTTCGAGCGAAGCCGGCCTGCCCCTAGTGACAAGATGGCGGCGGGTAAAGCAAATGAATCAGGAGCGCCGCCATCTTGGCAGGTGCAGAGGCCATATCAGACACTGGTTCGATCAAACTGTATCTCGTGTAAGCTTTTTGGAACGACATGCAACAAGACTAGAACAACCATAACTGACTCGTACACTGCATGCGAATGTGCGAAACGATATTACGGACGCAGCCGATATGCTAGGACCCGATAAAGTCTGTCAAGCAGCACAAAAAACCAAAAATCGCGTTGTCACGGCACTCGTTGTCTTTATGTTCTCGAGTCACTTGCTAGGCAGGCGGCTTATTTTTGACCCAAGCAACGAGGCATGCGGAACGCAAGTTCGTCTGCTTCCTGCACAGGTGTTGCGGTGATGTCCGAACGCCCAAATCTTTATGGCTGAATAAAAAAAAAAAAAAAATAGTGGGTATAGATTTTAGGGCACCTAGCATTGAGGTATTTACACTATCCTTTCAATCAAAGCCAATCAGAGCTCGGCGTCGTTCTGACGTCACCGGAACTCCTGTGCAAGAAGCAGACGACTTGCTCTCTCCCGCGTAATGCTATACTTAACTAGCAGAAACTCGCGAGCTGAGGCCACCTTTCTGCTGCCACCCAGCGCCACGAAGAATGTCCGGCGTGGGAGGAAAAGCTATTTAATTGACAAGATGTTTTATTTTAATTTGAATGTTTATATGTGGTAATTTATTGTATGCAATGTAAAACTAATAATTCGTATTTAGAGACATTCGTGGTTTTACAAGCACCTAAAACTAATCCCTCAGTTATATGAGCCAACGTATTCCGCACTCAACATAATCTACTGTCGGAAAAGTTGTGCAGCACCCGTTCAAATTTTGGTCTTGATTCCGTAAAAGGTGCAAATGTTGTTCTGCATTTTGTTTTCTTTTTCTACATTTTATTAAGACCAAGTATTGACAAATACTAATCTTTGCCACTTAGGTTGGGGCCCCTGGCAAGCACTATCCACCACACTAGTAGCTTTAATAGCAACGATTCAATTCTCAAGAAATAAAAACGTAAAAACCGGTGCTCGTTTATTCCTACCTACTATGTGTCACGCTGTGTGCATTAGTCTACGACCTCTATAAACTAAGTAAGGATTAGTAGGCCTTGGAGTTAAGAGAGGAAAGGACGGAGAGACATAAACCTCCAAGAGTTGTGTGTTTGTTCCTCTCAACTTCCCAAGATTCAGGGTTCACCCAACACCGCCTAGATGACAAAGCCGTAGTGCTGCCATTTTTGCGTCACCAGCGAAGCTCAACGTTGGACACGGATTGGAAACGAGTGCTGCGTCAGCACTCTGATTCGAGTCAACTTCGAGCGGAACGTTGACGCAATCGTCGTGTCCGATCTCTGACCAGCGTTGGCCTTCGCTGATGATGTCATCTCATTTTGCACTACGGCTTCGTTATGTATGCTCTGTTTCACTTTGTGTTGTACCGCAGGAAAGGCTACAAGCGCGAGCTCCTTGCTCAAGGGCACATCTCGGCGGCACAAGCTCTCGTGCACCAAGAGCAGCTGCCAACCCTATGAGCTCGCGCTTCTAGCCTTCGCTGAGGTACAACATAAGGTGAAACGTAGTGTAGGAGGTGTTGGTTCACCGCGTGTGTCATCCTTCTATACATAGACGTCTAGGAGTTCGTGTTGCAGAAAAACCGATGTCGTTGGCGTTGCAATGAGAAAATCCTGAATGGTCGATAGGGTCATGACATCACAGCCAGATGACCTCGGGCGGGAATTTCAAACAGCTCACAACGCTAACGTCACGCGTGGAATAAAAGTAATGTAAAAAACATGACATGTAATGCTAATTAAAGGTCGCCGCATGTCTCAAACACGATTGCACTTTATAAAGTAGTTCAAGTGCCTTTTAGGCGGGATTCGAACCCGCGACCCTTCGGTTGCAAGTCAGACACACAATACTGACTAGGCTTGGGTACGAGCGGAAGTTTATACGTTTATATGTCTTGCTATCGCGTTCCACTCTTACGCCCGAGTCCCACTAGAGTGACAAACAGAAACAAACGTCAGCGACAAGCCTCAAACACATGCAGCGGGTTCGCGATGGTACCTTTAGCAGGCGTTGTGTCGTTCTGCGCTCGTGATGTAAGCACGAGTGATTGCGAGCCTGCCAAAGATATCCTCGCATGCATGATGCTCGTGTTTGAGCATAGCCTCCTCCATTCTACAAAGCTATGTCAAATCGCGAAAAATTCTGGTTTGAGGCTTGCCGCTGTTGTTTGTTTCTGTCTGTCGCTCTACTAGGACTCGGGCATTAAAGGCGGAGCTTAAGAGTCCTCCTGTAATATTTGAAGTGCCTGCAGATAAAATATATTTGTCAAGAAAAAACATAATTCGCAGAAAACAAAACAGAAAAAAAAATTTTACTGCAATATTTAAGTTGTGAGAGTCATTTTTGTGCCTCGTGACGTGCTTCTATTCGGGTCGACGTGCCAAAAGAAAAACACGCTTCGCAGTTGCTTCTCACTCAAAATGACTCAAACCGTGAACATTGCGCAATCGAGGTATTCCCTAAATATGTTTTGGAAGTTTAATGTCGCCAGGAGTGATCTTGAAACATGCTTATGTATTTCGGGTTGACGTGCCGTAATAGATCGTGTTTTAGAATATTTCCTAACACAAATTTTGTGTCGCCACGTAAATAAGGCACAAAAACACCCACACAATTTGGAAACTTTACTTCGTGACATACCTGGGGGAAAGATGAATGTCTTTTTTTTTTTTTATTAAATTTAGTCTGTGATTTACGTAAAGTGTGCAATTCCCTTTCCTGCTGGAACAAGCAAGCGTCTTGATAGTGGCGGTGCATTGATAATTTATACCTGTGTTACGTCTTATAATGCAGAATGCTTCAAGAACACCAGATCGAAGTTTGGAAGGCTCGACATTGTTATCAACAATGCCGGCATCTTTAAAGAAGAAGACTGGAGAATGACGTTTGCCATCAACACAGTGAGTTCCACTTGCTCCACACAGATATTTATCCTTGCTGTATAGACCACAATTCTCAACATTTTTGCGCGGGGCCATTGTTTGCCGACTGGGGCGCCACCCTGCAGGTGGCGTCCTAGTCGTTTTCGCTGCAGAGTTAGAAACGGTGTCAAAACCGCACATGGCGAAAAATAAAAATGAAAAACGTCACACTTAAACAAATTGTGTACGCTGTGCCTCCTGCGACGTACCACCGCGATTTTCGCAGTCCACTGCGATGCAAGCGCCGTCCGGTGTCGAGAGTAGAGCGTCGCTCGCGTCTGCTAGCGAGGCTAAAAAAAATATCCCCAGCCACCTAATAGACATTTTCTGTTTCCTGTCGTTCTTAGTCACGTGGTTTCCGTCTCTGGTAGGTGGGGCGAAAAAATAATAAAACATTTCAAACTGGAATATGCGCGGTGAGGCAAAACAAGAACGTGTGAAAATCACGCATTTTTCGTAAACATCTTCCAGCAGCGTGGAGAGATCAAAACGATGTTTTACCGCATATCAGAAGTGACGAAATTCAAGATGGCTGCGGCCTTGGGGAAAAGGTGTATAGGCGTATCCGGTATGAACCACAAAAAGAAAGCAAACAAAAAAAAAAGCCAAGACGTTTACAATTCTCTCTAATGTGAAATTAGAGTGCAGCTCTTGAGGAGGAGGAGGGGAGGGTACTGAGGGGAGGGTATGCTTCTCGTCCCCCACCCTACTATCCGTTCCTTCTCGTCTCCCATTTAGAGGGAAATTTTAGCTTAATGTCCCGCTAAATTTAGAAAAAATCTACCCGCTAAATTTAGCGGGTAAATTTCCCCGCTTAATTTAGCGGGTTAAGTTAGCCCGCTAAATGTAGCGGGGAAACTGTGACGTCCCATAATGCAACGCGCGCGGTTACGCCGACGCCACTCAACCCGGGAATGGACACCTACAAGCTGCGGTCTAAAGGCCCGTTCACACTCTTGCGACTGCTTGCGACCTCTTAAACCTGGGTTCCTTAAAACTTCTTAAACCAGAGAACACACTGGCGCCATCTATTGGGAAGCAGTGTAAACTCGGCGGTCAGGCATATTTTTTTTTATTTCTCGCGCAATATCCTTTCTTTTTTGGCTCGAAAAACTTTTGTCAATGTTATAAACGAGCCTTTCTATGGGTATTACGCACATTTGACCTCGGAAATCCCGCAAAACCTTGGTTTTTTGTGAAATGCAGTTCTAGGGTCACCGCATAGATGGCGCCACAATGTCAGCGTGTTCCCTCATTCTAGAAACATTTAAGAAGTTGTAAGAGATCTCGTCTCTCTCAGTCGTACTCGGTCGCAAGAGTGTGAACGGGTTTTAAGAAATGAAAGACGTTTACAAATATCTTTAACGCGAAACTAGAGCGCAGCTCTTGAGGAGGAGGAGGAGGGGAGAGCGCGAAAGGGGAGGTTATACCCCTCCTCCTTTCCTCCTTCTCTCCTGCTGCCGCTGAATTTGTTCATGGGTTCCGTGACACGAAGTCGTGACTTCATTTTCCCGCTAAATCTAGCCGGGAAACTGAATTGGTGTTGATGTTACGTAACGTCGATTTCTCCTCTAAATTTAGCGGGGAAACGTTTCCACTAAATTTAGCGGGAAACGTTCCGCGCTAAATTTAGCGGGGAAGCTATGACATCCCATAATGCAACGTGCGCGGTTACACCGACGCCGCTCAACCCGGAAATGGACGTCTAAGAGATTTGCCCTAAAAACATTTCAATCAGTATATAGTAAGGAAAAGAAACAGAGGGGAGGCATAACGAGAATGTGTGACGGTTGCGCTTATTCCAAATCTCCTCCACTGGCGTGGCGGTTCAGCGCCACGCCAATAGAGCGTACATTATAATAACTATAATAATAATAACTCTAATAATTATAATAACTCAAGCGTACATTATAATAACTATGCCCCGGCATAGCTGTGGCCGTTGGTGAAAGCACAATCATAAATACTCCACCTTGCAATAGCCGATTCACACGACGGACCGAATCGCAATTTTCGTCCGCGGACCGTGCACCACGTGACCGGTACGTCACCGATTCCTGCGATCTACGCCTCGTCCGCGGAAGCGCGGACTAATAAAGTCGTAATTAAAATGCAATTAAATGCAAATATGCAAGCGAGCTGCACAAGAATGACGAAAATAATCCCTGGAGAAGGGGTACAAGAGGGACAAAGGACAAACACAAATCTCCAATACAGCTAGCAGGTGATTAATGAGAGACCGAAAAAATCCGCCAAGTCTGGGTGTCGAACCCGGGACCTCTCCATTACAGGTGGAGCGCTCTACCAACTGAGCTAACCAGGGGTTAGTCTTCAGTAGAACAAACGGGTTTTATCAGCTGCCACCAGTCTAATACCAGCAAGGGTGAAGCCTGCAATTTAAGGTTATAATTTTAATGCAATTAAATGCAAGGGTGCAAGCGAGCTGGACAAGAATGACGAAAATAATCCCTGGAAATAATTCCTTGTGTCCTCCAGGGACTATTTCCTTCATTCGTCATAAAGTCGAGTGCCTTTTTCACTCGCGGACTTTTGGTGGTAGATTGACATGAAAAGCGTTTAGTCTGGCAACGGTACTTGGTTTTCTTGCTTTTTTGCTTCTGGGCGCTCAAAACAAAAATGGCGCATCGTTGTGTTTTGTGCGTTCGTTGGTTCATTTTGTCGCGCGATTCTTGGTTCCACGCTTGAAAGAAACTCCAGAAACGTTGTGCGGCTGACGCGACGCAGGTTGCGGTACTCCTCCGGGTCCGTGTCAAGAAGCTCTCGTCAAAACTCGTCTAGCACACCGCGATAATTCTTGCACGTCAATCAGGATTTTACTGAGAAAAATCTCTATTGTGGATGTGTGTGCTTGAGTGTTGTGCACGAGCGCGGAGTGCGTGAAGGCATCTCGAAACGCCCCTCCGCGAGCCCAGAACATCGTCGCGTCTACGCCGAAGCTTTCTCGAGCAGGACCATGCCTGTGTCACGGTCATGCTTTGGGTTAGTAAAGTTAGTGGCGCTTCGCGCGTAGCCTGTCCCGGTGTTTTGTCTCGATCTGTACATAACAGCGGCGTATGATTCTTTATCGCGGTAGCAAACGTCGATTTCTCTCCTGGACAACGGTGCCACGGTGCGATGTTGGAGTTTCACGGCACTGTGGGGTGGCGAACAGGTTCGGTCCGTCCTCGCTGGCGTCTGCTCGTCGTCTCCCTAGTGTGGATGCGCTTGGGAGACGGACGAACCGCGGACATGCCGTCACACGATCAATCCGTCCGCGGATCTGTCTGTCGTGTGAATCGGCCTTCAGCAGAAATGTTCGGATTTTCCCCATTGAAGTTTTGTTGGGTAGCCATCTCCGGAAAGAGAAGGACTATGTTGTGAGTACCCATGTCAATTTCATGTGGAACGAAACGGCGGATGCTTCAGGAACACTTAATTCTTGACGATAAAAATAATCGTAATCCACGTTGTTGGTTGGTTTTGTTTTCTGAGAAACATGCCAGGTTACGCATACGTTTTAATCAAGCCAGTTTTGTGTGCATCTTATATGACTCAGCCCCTTTGTCTTTACCACAGTTTGTAGGGACCCACCGCGAATTACGGGAGACTTTAAGCACTGGTTATTTATGGACGGCCGTGTTGAGCGAGAACTGGAGAAAACAGCAGGCAAAACTTACGTCTGCTGACCTGAATCGGCCAGAACGCTAGGCACTTTCTCCCCATGGGGCCGGTCACGTGACCTTAAACTCCCTATTGTGACTATTTTAACCACCGGGAAGGATCCCCACGTTCACCAGAAAAACGACCCATGTAAGCGAGTTCACTGCACTGTCCAAAATGTGGCTACATGCACACACACGTACGTACACATCGCGACACTGTTAGCGGGAACACGACATCAGCGCATTCTCGCATTTTACTTCTAAATAGTATTAGCGAGCACGAAATTTTATCGCTTACATTATAGAACTAAATGAGCTCTTTCCGTAGCAATAATAACTTGGATGATATCCCTTGGTTTCAAAGAGAAAAACTGGAAAAAACGGCGATCGCTTGTTCGCGCTAACAGTGTCGCGCTCTACGTACGCATCTTTCAAGAAAGACTTAGCTTACCTCTTTACGACAACTTATTGTTTTATGATAAAAATACTCGTAGGGTGATTCCAAGCAGAAGTTACTTTTTTTTCTCTCTCTCTTCCCTAGGAGGCAGTGTACTCCGGGATCTTACTTGGACTGAAGTACATGGGCAAGGATAATGGCTTCAATGGTGGCCATATTATCAGCACCTCCTCGATAGCCGGTACTTGTTTGCGATGTGCGACACTTGAATAACTCAGTGGACTAGCCCACAGTGTTTTTATGATTCTATTTGTTTTGGGTTTCCTTGTAGTTTTTTTTTTTTTTTAAGGTATCGATCCAACTTGCATGCATAATGCCCACGTTAATTAACATTTGTTACGTAATGTCGGGGAAGTTACCCAGCTGAAACAATAAACTGCGTTCTAAGGTTCCTTGACTTGTAACAAAATTACAATACAATTACTGATTCCAGGAAAATGTGAGCATTTAATGGACCTTTTGCAGAAATATTGGTACCCACTTTCTCTCGCTTTTCTGGCCGAGGCAGAGAGGAAAGATGGTTTCTTTGTCTTCCGGGCTTAAAGATAACCCACGATGGGGCAAAGGGCAACTTTGGGGGAAGCCGTATTTAGGCTAAAGCGACTCGATAGGCAAAAAGTATAGCTGACGTTCTGGGTGTTGGACGGCCTCGAAACCACGCCTCAAGAACCGTGGTAAAAAGTGTCCTGCTTCTTACCCAGCACTATTACTTTCCCACTTTATGTAGAGAATTAAGATATATGCAGTGGCACTTTAGATGAGATATACGTTGCCTTATGAAGACGTATGCATTTCAGACGACCAAAGCATCACTTTTTCCTCTGACAACCAAATCCTGTTATAAGAACTTCGCGTGGCATATGAAGAATGTGCAAAACTTCCTTTGTTCTTGAGGGGAAAACGAGTACTATAGGTGGACAGTAGGGCACACTAGGTGGCAGCACATATATTTGGAAAAAAAGATGTATCGCACTAATTTGATCCCAACAGCGCCATTGCTGTTACTTAAGAACAAACAACGGCCTCATTTGCAGGAATCTATGTGCTGCCCTCCGTTCCTGCGTACAACGCCTCCAAGGTTGCGGTGGTCGCCATGACCAGAGCGTTCGGGGTAAGTTTTCCGGGATGGGCGCGTGTCTTTTTTGAGAGGTTTGATCAGTATGCACTACGCATTGTTCAACGTCTGATAATCAAACTAATACACGAGACGACAGACTGTCAGGATACCACCGAATAACAACAAGGAAATTTGCTAAGTGAACCTACTTGTTTTGCTTTCATGACAAAATTGTCATTAAATATGTTTTCTAGTTCGGGCGGATAAAGAGATTCACTAAAGTTAATGCGCTTAATTTGAAGTGGATGGATATTCGTTTTATGTTGCGGCCAGTCCAGTAAATCGGTTGATCGGTTGGTTAGCTGCATATGTCTAACAGTGTTTTCCAGAAAAAAAAAAAAACTACGAGTTAAATGTCTGCAATACAAAAATTGAAGCCACGATTATTCAGCAGTAGGTAACGATAAAATATTGAATTTTCTTACGGACTGGACCAGTAATGTGAAAATAAAAGAAGGACCAGTATTCTAAAATAAAAACAAAGTTAACGATTATATGACTATCGTGACGGTTAAGTATTAAAGAGAACCAGAGATAGTGCTGGGAAGCTATAGGGCGATTGGCATTTTCGACTCGAAATTGTTTTATAAATATAAAGTGCTACATGGTCGCGAATCTATCTTCTATTATATTGCGAGAAATGTATGCTTAGTGCAACATACGGCCGGGTCATAGAAAAAAATTGTGGCCTAGATTATCTTTCTATAATTCTGAGACTGCTCAATAGCACGTGCTGGAAAATAGAAATGACATGCCCACCATGTTATTATGCCTTCTCACATAGATACCAAAAAAAGGATAAATATTATTACTACAGTTATTGAAAGTTAAGAAAGGCTAGGCGTGGTAATCTTCGCGATTCGTACTTCGGCGTCCTTATAAGGTAATTCCAACGTTCCATTGGCTGCGTAGACATCAACTTATTAATTCGTTCGTTTATTTCTTCCATCGTGGACAGCAGATGCCTTGGTCATGATGGACAAACAGTGTCACGATCATCTGGCGGGTTAGTTGGTTGATCATTATGTTCAATTATCAGCGCAAATATTTGCGCTTTTTTATTTCCGCTGTTAATTCAACGTAATGGACAAACAGTGAGATCAAAATTAGTCCAACACAAATTCTAAAAAAAAAAAATGATCTAGAGACGTCTATATTCGCTGCAACGAGGGATTGTTATACAAGTCCCGTATGCGGGTCATGAAGCTAATTGAGGTGATTTGATTGACAAAAATAGTAGGGGAAACTCGCAAAACTCGCCTTGGAACGTGAGAACACGAACAATGGCGTATGATCGGGGCAATAAATCAATCCAACGGTCTCCGAACCCCGGCCTGCTTGCATTCAGCAGGACCGCTGCTACCAACGCAATTAAAATGAAAAAAAAAAAAAAAAGACAGCAAAGCGCAACAAACGCGCACACCAAGATAGCAGAAAAATAGAGAACTATTTATTTAGTTTACTGTTTTTTACTTTGAATTTTTTATATTTATATTCCTGCCCTCGAAACTTCGATGGACCCCCAATCCGGCCCCTTAGCCGAAAAGTTGGGAGACCCCTAAATTAACACGCAAAAACATTTACAAAAAAAAAACAAAAAAAAAATCGCTTAAGCATTTTTGAATTCGATTTAGGGCAATTGCATCGTTCAAAAAAGCCTCCTATATTCATATATTGAACTGTACGAAGAATATAACGAGCGTAAAAGAAATTTGAAAGAAGCGCTTTTGTAGGCATTCTACCAGAGCTCTGCACGAGGCCGGGCAAACCCGAAAGCACGGCTTGGCCCGAGGGCCGACCCCGGGACGGTTAGCACGAATCGTTCCCGGTCTCGGGCCGGGCCTGGGTCGGGTAGCACGGATTCTTTCCGGGTCCGTGCCGGGAGTAACACACCTTGTAAAACGATGAGAATAAAAGATCAATGCTATGACCGTTTGGACATGAAAAAAAAAAATGAAAAAAAATCCCGAAGTACAAACCGACGAATACGTTAATACTGAACATTTTTAATCCGTCGTGACTTCAGATCGTACTGGACTGCGTTGAATCTGTCACTTGTGCACGCTCTATGATGTCGCAAAACTTTTCTTCATCTTTTGAACAAGTGCTGTTAAAACTAGATAACAGAAAGTATAAAACAGAGAGAGGACGAAACACAGACGAGTACATTCTTTCATGTAATCTATGTTGACATTCGCCTTTTTATGCCGACACTTCTAACGTCGTCGAAGCTCGCATTAAAGCTAAGACGACAAGAACGTCAACCAAAAAATGCTGCATCTCGCATAAAAAAAAAAAAACCTTTTCGACGTTTGATATTTTGACGTCACCACCCAGAGATAAGAGACGCGCATCCTAGCGGTGGAGGAATGAATATGGCACTTTCGACTGTCTTGCGGCGTTGAATCTAGCAGATTTCGGACGTCGAAAGGTGTTTTCTTTTTCCGTACTTCAGCACCACACAGAAAGAAAAAGAAAGTTCAGCAAACGTGCCATAAGTAGTGCGAGGCCCAATCAGGTGAGCTTGCACTACCCAAAATGAGGGCACAACACTTTGCTCAAAGCTTCAGTGAAAGAGGCGGGTCGTCCGCCTTAACCGAGGCCACTTCTTGACGGGCGAATCACTCTTATCGAGCACCATCACCAGCAGTTCGTTGACAGAGTGTATCTAGCACTATATATCGCAGTCGACGCCACCAGGTAATCAGACCAAAGCGTCAAAAGTACAAGTGACGAGGCATTTTCTGATTATGAATGTCCCAGCGGTGAACACGCGCTGCAACGTGATGAACACGCACTGAAACACAAGGAACACCATCCAGATGCGTTTTTGACAATGTCAAATTGGTATAACACCGATTTCCTCGGAGCCCTCTCCCTTCGTGCAAGATTTGAATCTGTAGATACGTATACAGGAACCATTTTGCATGAAGCATTCGTATTCACCTCCGATTCGAAACGGGTACCACAGGGCCCGCAGAGCAGAGAATGAATTGCTTGCGGCCGATAAACGGTTCAGACAACAGCCCCGGGCACACGTTTATGAACCACGTCACGCTGGTCGAAAGATGGTCCGGATTCGCCACGCCCCGCTTGTCTAAATAAACCGATTCACGATCGGCAAACGAAGCTGACAGAAACACCCTGTGTACATAGGCCAAGCTGCACCTGGACCGTCATGGCGTGAGGGTGAATTGCGTGTGTCCAGACCCCATCAACACTCCGCTTTGGGGACAAATCTCCGGCCACTTCAAACTGGACCCGATTACGGCTCCACTGCACGACGTCTACGACAAGCGGGCTCAAAGGTCGGTCAGTTCCCGCTCACCGCTAACTATTCACGCTCCACTCAAAAGCCCCGCACTGCTCACACAAAAGACAGTCTGAGGTCCGTATCTTCCTTGTGTGAGGTTACATTAGTTGTACAAACACTCTCTACAGAGATGCTGGAAATGCATGAAGCAAAAATGCTTCGAATGAACTTGAGGCGCTCGTACGCGAATAATTTTGTGCTGCGTCATGGCTGCAGCGAACGCGGCGTGTTTTTTGTGTCTGCGGCTTAAAAACAATCTGGAGCGTCTGCTTTCCCTCAGTGCACTTGGGGGTGAGCCAATCGCTGCAAACAGCGAACGCAGCTTATGATGCAACCAGTATAAACTCGCTGGAAAGGAGGTGAGGGGAGAGGAGGAAGCCACCAATCATGATTAGTAACCCCCATTACCAGTCACAACAATTTTTTTTCGCGAAGTTATTAGATTCCTAAAGTTGGTCTTATAGACTGGCCTCACTGAAAACGTGTTACTTGTAACGCGTTACAAGTAACGGCGTTACCGCGGTAGCGTGTTATTTTTCCGGTAACATAGTAACGGACCAATTACGTTTTCAAAATGGTACCGGGTAACGTATACTTACGTTACTTATTTCGAGGAACGTGTAACGTAGTTACGTCACTCGTTGCATATTCTTCTCAAACCTTAACACTGCAATTTTTTTTCTTGTATCTAAGCACCAAGCCATAAATTTTTGCGTTTTTTTTTTTGTTAGTATTTTGATCGAATTTTTAAAAGATAAGGTAATTATGTTCAGTTCCTAGATGGACATGATGTTTCTTTAAATATGGCACTATGCCTGCAACGTCAGAGAGTAAAACGTGTTGATTCATAATTAAAGAAGTAACGGAAAAGTAATGTGAGTTCTTTTTAACGGGAACGGTAACGTGTCACTTTTATTTGCAAGTAACGAGTAACGTATTCCGGGTGATTTCAGATAAGATCGACCAAAGGGTGGCTGGTCGACATTTTTAAATCAACTGATGTTTTTATATGACATAGTCTAGTGTCTGGTATAAACGAATCCACACTTAGTTTTGACCAGAAAAAAAATTTGGAGACAAGAAAAATCGTAAGGCAGGGAGAGGTGGACAGTTGCAATAACGCGCACTGATGGAGGGGGCAAGTTTGAAAGTGAATAATTAAAACAATAAAATTAGGAGAATTTTAAAACTTTTTACAAACAAACTATGGGTACAACTTGCTTGTAATATAAAGTAATATTATTTATTAAAAATTTATTTAGTTTTCCAAAAAATTGCCAAACATGCCTGCTCGAACGACAAATGGCAAACTTTGGAAATCTGTATCTCATGAAATAATTTAATCATTATTACATAACTTGCAGACATTATTTTACTAATATATGGCTATTATTGAAAAAATAAATAAGGTATCTGAATGACACAATAGTTACAATATATTTAGGCAAACATGGGAAAAAAATCAAACAAAGAACAATTCCAATGCGAATAAAAAAAAAACACCACCTTCGATTTTTTTTAAATTTGGGTACCCTGTTATACTCTATTTCGGCATTCATTTCTATTAAAAACATGTTGCATCATTGCACTGTGAAAGAAGAAACAACTCCCCAAAGTAGGGTCCTTTTTCAAAGCCTACACTTAGCAGTGTCCTATACAAGAAGTGACTCTGAGTTCCAGTTTCATGAAACTTGCACAAATCTTTTATATACATTTATTCAGATGAGGTCATTGATAAAAAGAGCGATCGGTCACACAGTAAAAGGGAGGAGAAACTATATACAGCATTTTACATAAGCGTACAAAGTGGTATCATATTAGAGACTAATGATTTGAGAAAAGATGATGCAGTGTGAAGTTGTACCTTCCGGTATATTTTACATCTAGAGTAAAATAAATAACTTTACTTCCACACACAAAAACAAAGATATAATAGTAAGATATTTAGGTTGGCTGTGTATTTACGATTACAAACAATTTCAGGTGACGGATGCCATAGTGCCTAACTGGAGCAGCTTCGATGCTCTCGGTGTATGAATGAATCGTGGCAAGCCGATATATTTTATCCTGCTCGAGGATAACATTTTGGGATTTTTTTTATAGTGATCAGATAAAAATTATTAGTAACCACCAACAAAGACAGTAGGTTAAATACCCCGTGAAGAAAAATGTGATAAATAAGATGTCCCTGCATTCAAAATGAGCAGTCCTTGGGAAATCAAATTCGGCACTTTACGCTAAGGTTTTCCTCGCTGTACCCATTTAATAAAGTTGCTTCCAAGCAGATCCGACTGTCCGTGCTACATATACGTCACAGGTCCCTTCTGCTGATGACTTGCTGAGCCGCCACGCCTGCCAAGACTGAATGCCAGGGAAGGCGCGCACCGTCAGCCACTCTTCTTTTTTTTGTTCACGATACCGAACCACCTCATTTTCGTCCAGATATACAAGATGCACGCCTTTCAGTTTCTTTGATAGAACGCTCACCATTGTCCTGGCCGTCTGAATTGCGCTTACTGAACGTTCTCTCAGGTTGTTCAGCGTGGCCTGGTGCTTCACGAGTCCACCAACTCCGTCACATGCATTTTTCCCATGTCCAGATGCAGAAAATAACCACTCGGCTTGTGGGCAATCGTCCTTTGCAAATTGGTGAAGCTGGTAGCGATTCTTGAAATGACTGGCGGCGCCGTCACTTACGTACGTCACGTACGAGTATACCGCAACGTTTGTCTTCAACCCACTCCTTCACTTTTTCTAGAGCCAAGCAAGCGTGAGCGGCGTCGTGACACAGGTCCTCACTGATGATGGCAAAGCTGTTTGTAGATTTTCTTGTCGTCACTACACATGTAAATATCGAAACTTGTTTTTTTTTCCAGTGATATGCTTGCACTTCGTCAGGAAGCACGATGGTCCAGTTTTCAGCAAAGTCAAAATGAAAGACAATGCTCCCGCGTTGCATGCACTGTTTTTCATCGTAGATCGCTTTACCTTGCGTTTGCCGGATATGGTTGTGAAGTACCCAACTTCCAACCGTCACTTGGATGACTTTTAGGAAAGTCTCAGGTTCCAAAGTTTTTTTCACAAGGTCGCCGGACTCCCATGTTGCAAGCACAATCTCTTCATCCTCCGGGATATCAAGTTCCTGGAGTGTAAGAAACTGGCCTTTTGGGGAGTGATCACAGTCTCCTTGAAGGCACAGTTCTGTTGCTGGGTCGCACAGAAATGCCGAGTTCATTTCACCAGTGTTGAATGTTGAGCCTGTAACGTTCTCTAGAGCGGCAATACAAAGATAATAATTGGCGCAGCGCACACAAACGCACACTTCCTGGTGTGGAATACATTGGACCCATCTAGGGCGCAACGAATAAAATTTCGTTAGCCCAACGCCGGAATCGGGATGCTTGTCTTTGTATATACGGAAGGCCTCTCGTATTGAGCGTGTCATGAAGCGCTTTGGCACGAACGTTTTCTCTCCGTTGAGCATGACAGAGATGACGTCCTTCTGGTTGGGACTTTGGCGCGAACATTGTAGCTCGTCTTTCGTGAAGTACTCTATGGCAGCAGACAGGTTCTCAGGGCTCACCTTGCACCTCGTGTAAGGATCCGGCTCATATATACCACACGTCATGCTTTTCCTTGAGTTTTCGGGATTTACTGATGAGGTACATTGAGGCCTGTGGAATCATCTTTTGAACCTCATTCTTCGTCAGTGTTGACGGCAGGAGTGTAAGCAGTTGACAACGTTCCCGGAGAGAGGTGGCGGTTTCAAAGGCCTGCCGAAAGTTGTCCACCCACTCAGTGCATGTGGAGCATGTTGGTTCGGACGACCCCGATGGTGCGTCCCTGTCGTACGCAATACGTAGCCTTGAGCGTATATTCTTGACAGCAACCTGCTCCAGTTCTGTCTGCTTTCTCTTGACATAGGCAGGCCTGTCCCGACTTCTTACGACGCTTGGTTGTCTCAGCGGCGACACATCTGTAGGTAGTATGCTGCGATTTAGATCTTCAATTTCTTCTTCAGCTGGCACAAATATGTCAGGGCACTGCTCTGAGCTTCGCAACGAGATCTCCTTAGTGATGTGCATGAAGCAATGGTAGCACAGGTAGTCCGTCGCACTCACTTTGGTGGAACGGTCACGCGGAAGAATTTGCTTCAACGAGTTTAGGTCCAACTCGCCAACACTTCGAAAATTCCGCTGCTTTGGTATAGTCTTTTTGTGTTTGCAAAAGTAATCTGCACAAAACACTCGTTCGGAGCTCCAGGACGTCTTCATAATGTATACATAAATAATAGAAATTAAACCCCAACTGATGGCATATAATTGCCAAGTGAAAGAACTACTGGGTGCACAAGTGACAAGTCCGAGGCTGAGGAGCTCACTCACTGCAAACGTACATTTGAAAAGAGAGGTCACAACTGAGGCTGTCGGCAAAGCTTGATCCACGTCAAAGGAAGAAAGAGGGAAAGTCTCCAGACAAGAAATTGTGGTCAGCGGCCTTCGAAAAAGACTTTCCGGAATCGCACTGTCGTCCCTCCACGCGCTGATATGAAAGCACCCGAGCTTCTACCACGTGGTTCATGACACAGCCTGAGCCATGTCGGCGACCGGTTCGCGAGGGGTTGGCGGTGGGGTTACGTTGATGGTCACTCGGATTAGCCCTTGCTGTACTGAGCTACCGCCTGCAGTGCCTTATCGCCGGCTGGTGTCAACAACGAGAACACACACAGCCTGTCTACACCAAAACTACAAGCGTTCACCGCACACGCGTCGCCGCCGCTTTTAAGCTTTTGTGAAATTGCTTTCTTTTGCCGCGGAGAACCGCCTTATCTTAACTACGCGCCTGAAATCCTTCCAGGCGGGCGTACACAATATCAAGCGTTTAGAGAAATGCCCGTGGAGTAGAACTATGGGAAAATTCGGAGCCCGCGATGTCGATATCGTCGCCGTTGTGTTAGTACGCCGTCGCGTACTGCAGTCCCCCGTTGGGGGAGGGGGGGGGGGGCGGTCTTTACTACGATAACATGGCGACAGCGTTTACAATCTATGTATTTACGCGAGGCTCGAGTATTTGGGGATAATGCTGCCGGTTGGTGTGCCCCTTTGTGCCTGATATTATCGCCCGTGACGCCAGCGAGTGAGATGGCGACAGGCATGACTGCTCAGTAAACAGGCGTCGGCGGCCATGTTTTGCTGGTTGAAGCGAACCCCCTTGTCCTTGACAGCGAGCGGGGAAATGCGAAAAAAAGATTGTATCGGCCGTTTTGCCAGAACTAGCGACGAGTGTCGTCTGCGGTTTCCGGCAACTATTTTGCCATAATCGTGAGCTTAGCGAGGAATTGATTTTTGCTAGCCACAGAACACTACCACGCAGAAAGGGAATGCTTGAACATGTTTTTGTTCTGGATATATATCAGGGATATATATGAGAGAGAGAGAGAGAGAGATGAAGGTAGAGCGGAAGAGGGAATGGCATATAGTGTCGCAGGAGAATAAAGTAAACAAAGTTACTAGTGGCCGATGGCTGCATGATCTTTTCTCGGATCACTAGTCCGTAATATGATACTTCTTTGTACACAGTAGTTTCTCCTTAATTTAAGTGTGTGAACGATTTCTTTAGTTATCATTGGCCTCATTTGAATAAAAATATATAAAAGATGTGTGTTGGTTTCATGAAACTGGAACTCAGAGTCAGTTCTTGTATAAAACACTGCTAAGTGTAGGCTTTGAAAAAGGACCCTACTTTGGGGAGTTGTATCTTCTTTCTCAATAAAATGATGCAACATGTTTTTAATGGAAATGAATGCCGAAATAGAGTATAACAGGTTACCTAAATTTAAAAAAAATCGAGGGTGGTGTTTTTTTTTTATTCGCATCGGAATTTTTCTTTGTTTGATTTTTTTTCCATGTTTGACTAAATATATCCTAACTATTGTATCACACAGATACCTTAGTTATTTTTTTAATATTAGCTATATATTAGTAGAATAATATCTGCAAATTGTATCATAATGATTAAATTATTTCATGAGATACAGACCTCCAAAGTTTGCCATTTGTCGTTCGAGCAGGCATGTTTGTCAATTTTTAGAAAAATAAATAAATTTTAAATAAATATGAGTACTTTATATTACAAGCAAGCTATACCCATAGTTTGCGCCTAAAACGTATTAGAGTTCTCCTAATGTTATCGCTTTAGTTATTCACTCTCAAACGGGCCCCCTCCATCAGTGCGCGTCCACCACCTCATGCCTTACGATTTTTCCTGTCCCCAAGTATTTTTTCTAGTCAAAACTAAGTTTGGATTCGTTCATACCAGACACTAGACAATAACATATAAAAATATCAGTTGATTTGAAAATGTCGACTAGCCATCCTTTGGTCGATCTTATCTGAAATCACCCTTCCATTACTTTTTTTTTTTTCGGTAACGCCTACAACATTGTGTCAGATGTTGGATGGAGGCAACACGTAGGTTATTTGTTCTCGGCTGGTTACCAAAAGTTTGGCGGTGAGAAATAAATTCTGGTTAAACTTACGCCAGCAAAATGAGGAAAAAAAAAGATGCGCCAAATACTGTGTTTTTTAGAGTGCCCTGTTCGACTTTTAAGTTATACAACATATGACGTCGCACCATTGGAGAGTGCGAGAAAATTTGAATGTTGGTTCCTCCATTGCCTTTTGTTGTCGGTTGCTCAATAGCCATTTTGAATTAGGAATAATAACTAGAATGCCGGGAAAAGTAAAGTATACGGGTGTTCCAGAAATATGTTTAATTTTGGTAGCTCAAAAAAAAAAAAAAAAATAGTCGGAGCTCTTGGGTTTTTTCAGTTGGTCCCCCAGTCTCGACCCTCAGCCACAAGCGGTGCCGTTCACTCTATAGAAGTCGCCAGTAAACTTTGAACTTATTTGAATAGCTGAGTCGCCTCGCTGCGTTTTGAAAATTACTTTTTTTTTTTTTTTTTCTTGACAGGCCGGAAGATGTCGCACGTGGCTTTATCAAACTCCTGGAAGATGACGACAAGAACGGCGCAGCGCTGCTCTCGCTGCACACCGACGGCCTCCAGTATTACAACTTCCAGGAGCCCACGCCGGAGTTTTAGCCGGACCAAAAATACAGACATGACTGTCTTAATAGAAGGGAGAGTAGGGCGAGTTGGTAGGCGTTCATTGTGACAACAGAGCGTAAAGAACCGGCAACGAAAAAAGAGAACGAACAGGGCCGAGCACTGACTGGCAACTGAACCCTTATCTTGAGCCCTTGATGCCCCGCCTGGATGGACGAATGGATATTAATGACTGCACCTTTTATAACGAAGCTTGCATCACCTTGCTTAGAAAAGCTAAAGCCTTCCCACGATTTCTACGCTGGGGCACAAACAAAGGTTCCATCCATGGTAGCCAGACCAGTTTTCGAGGCGTGACTGAATGGTGAGATTGAATTTTTAGATTTGGGTAGGTCTTTGTCCGTGTTCAACGGTGTGTCTTGTATTGCGTACGGTCTCGAGTTTAGGAGGTTATAATGTCAGTGCCACCTTACCAGGCATCGGAAATGCGCAGAATTCACTCAGAGCGGAAGTGCAGGATTCATGTGATAATTTTCGAAATCAACGTTCAAATGTCAGTCAATGCTTGGTCCTGTAAATTTTCTTCTTACGTCATCGTTTTTTTTTTCTTCTTTCATCGCGCCGTTTCCACGATGATGAATGACGTCGCACGCCTAATTAGTCTAGCCTTGTATTACATACCAGTATAGATTGCATCCCTGTTTGTCGCATGCTTTTATACTGAACAACTATATTTCACAGAGCTTTTTGTAAGACAAATAAAGATGTATTGTTCAAAATTAAGTTTAAACATTTTTCAACAAAATACAAAATCAAAGCCGTCAAAGCTATCTCTTATGCGTTCTGTACAGGCGAGTTACATGGCCAGAGGGACATAGCTGGCTAAATAAATCACCATAATACGTCCGATAATAAACGAATTCAAATGCGTGAAACGAACAAAAAACATTGAAATGAAGCACATACCACATCAAAACGTGCTTGCGTGACACCTTATACAGGGAGTTTCGGAGCGCCATTCGGGCGTAAAAAGATTTATATAAATCAACAAATAAAGCTCATAAACTTTTTACTGAGCTGTCTTCGTGGGGTGCATTAATCATATGCAAGTTTCATAAACATAGGCTTAAAAAAATATAAATATAAGCCTAAAAAGTCCTCTTTTTTTTTTCACTCAGCAGCAGGGAGCAAAACAGTGTCATTCCACGCCAAAGGATCCATGTCTTAGCTCGATCCTCACAAATTTTTAAAGGTTTTTTGACGACACAAGTTTTGCGGAAAGTAGGCCCCAAGAGGTTTAAAAAAAATATTTTAAAAAAAGGTCTGAAACGAGATTGCATAATTAACACAGTTGTTAGTAGTTCAATATACTCTTCTAAATTATCCCCAGGATGTCTTGTTACTCGTTTCCGAGTGTTTTTAAGGGTGTAGATGCGTTAAACATGTATTTGTTACTGTGCTTCCTCAAATAAATAGACACCATTGAACATATAGCAAAATATTTCGTAAAAAAAGATCATAAAGGTAGTCGGTTGTCTATATAGACGCACACAACAAACAAATATAAAGTTTTAAAACGCATATTTTTAAAGCGAAATAATAATTTTTAATTTTGGTCTATTGCAAGTATTGAAACTACTGCAAAATAATGTTTTCAAAGAAAAAGCCAAAAGGTGTTCTATCTAAAAATGCATACTTCACGGTTGTACGTAGTTAATAATTAAGAAAATAAATGAATACAGTTAAAAAAAAGTATTTATTAAAAGGTAAATAATTTCTATATGTTTGTTCAATAAACAAATTGCAAAAAACTCAGTTGAAAAACAAAAGAAAAAAAGATCTGGTGTTCGGTTTAAAAATACATACTTAACGGTTGCACATAGCTTAGAATGTAGTATTTTTTAAAGGTAATGTTTTTTTTTTGTTTTTTTCCATCGTTTTTTTTTTTTTTGCGTTTTGGTTCTGCGGCAGACAAACGCATTATATTGCATACTTTAGCAAACAATGCTACTGAACTAGAAAGCAGATGACGCAAGCTGTAGGAACCGACAGAATGAGAGCAGTAGCTGGCGTGTCCTCCGAACACCCGACCAGGGTGTAAGATAGACAGGTGGGGAAACGGCCCATAGAAACCTACCGCAGCGCCGTGACCGGATTGTGTACTCGTCTGCTTGCGGGTGGCTTGCGGGTACCCCCGATTTGCGACAGATGGCGCTGCGGCGAGAAGAAAAAAATTGGAATCGAATTTGCTTGGAACTCTATGGGAGAGTGCGCAAAATAAACTGAGAGCACGACAGTCCTCCATTGAAAATCCACGAGAAATCCTCTCCATCAGTTTAACCGGTCGCCAGCGTTCGCCCACCTGGAGCGAAAGTTCGCGGTGCTCCCCATAGATGGCGCCACAGAAAAAGAGAAAACCGAGGGGGACACAATCCGGTCGCTCATTTGGCTCTCGTTTCACCACCTGTCTATCTTACACCCTGGGAGAGACCGTGCTCGAGGCGAAGACATACGAAGCTCGCGCTAGAGGAGGGACAACCCAAGTCCTTCCCTGCAATTTTTGTCTTTGGTGGCGCCACCTCGCGGGCGCCCTCCTCTGACGTAGCTGGTAGGAAGCGAGCAGACGACGCGCTATGCCAAAGCACGGAGTGGATGTGTTGGTTCGCATCTGTGCCGATTAAAAACGGTTTATTAGTAAACGTGTACGAAGTTTTTGTGAGTGATCTTTCTAATGAATAACTGCAACTCAAAGTTTCTTTTTGTATAAAAAAATGACTTTAAAATGTTCAAAAAAAAAAAAAGCCTTCAGCTTCTCATTACAGCTTGCGCGGCACGTGTCAGGACTATTAACAGCCTCTCTCATTCTTGATTTTTTAGGATCTGTGGAGGCTACTGTAAAAAAGTGTTTTTCATTCACCAGAGTAAATGACGTGCTATGTACTTAGGTGTGCACGCAGGACACAGCTCTGTTTTGAAGCGCCGCACTCTTGTTTTAGCTGCATTGAGCTTGCCGATACCGACGCTTCTATCCAAGTGCGACTCGGCAGTTGCTGACAAGCAAATGCTCGTCAGCAACTGACCTTCAGCTCCTCCGGCATCGAATACGTGGCAAAGATGTTCGTCACATGGCGACTTCTGCTAGAAAGCGGAAATTTTCATGAATTCTTAAATTCTCGAACATGGCCTAGAAAATTAATATGTTTTAATCGCTCGCTGACAAGCGCGTCACGCATCATACGCATTTGGAACCGGGAAATTAACATATAAGCGGTAGTAATTCGTAGCCTCATTATTTTGGGACGCTCAAGTGTCACCGACTTACTGGAATTAAATCACGATGGGGTCTCGCACGTTTAACGCCGACCGGGTGAATAAGCAAGGAATTAATAGAAACGACTCCGGAAGCCAGCCACCGCTTCTTCCTGCCAGTTATTTGAGGGTATGTTAGTTCACTGGTTTACAAAATTCAAAAAGGGAAAAACTTGGAGCTTATAGGAGACCAGGACTTACAGAACAGATTGGAAACAACATGACACACGGAGTCGCTTTCACCGAAGTGTTTACAACATACGCGAGAAGTTCTCGAATTTCGCTTTCCTATTTTCAATTTAACGAAACATTCCTTTCCCACTTTTATTTTGTCCAAATTATAAAAACAATAAATTCGCCGTAGTAGACGTTGTAGTGGGGTAAAGCGCTAGATATTCTATTTTCATCGTCCAGCTTTTTTGTACTGGGGTGCAGAACAGCACACCACCATCGCTTCGACACATCAGCGCTAAGATTTGTTAGGACTATGCGTTTCAAGCTTTGGTAAAATGTCCTACTATAAATATCACTTCAACAAATAAAGACAACGCATGAAACAGGCTTTGCCGCGCGTTACTCAAACAGCGCATGAAGCGAGCTCACGAACCGAGAATCCAAGATCTGCGCGGTCTGTCCCAGTCTGTCCCACCCAACGTTACTAAAACACTCAGTTGGGTAACTCCCATAGAGACAGCTTCAAAAAAGTGGCCCCAATCTGTCTCCGATCAGTCAGTCAGTCAGTCAGTCAGCAACTTTATTGAACCTTATTAAATGGGCTTATGCCCAAAACGAGGGTTCGTTAGGGAGGGGAATAGGGGAGGGATCTTCTTTCCGACAATCGGGTCTTTAACCGATGCTCTATTTCTAGTGTCCTTAGAATCACTGCCAACTGTGTTTCGTAGTCCTCTGAGGCCAGGAGCACACACCAGGGAAGATCTTCGTCTTGATCGTCCAGTCTGCTTTGGAGCGTGGCTGGTATCGGGTTGCTCGGGCACATCCAATACGTGTGCGCCCAGCCACCGTCAACACTACCACATTCCTCGCACTTGTCGCTGAAGAGATCCGGCCAGATTCTGCTCAGCATGCGGGGAGTTAGGCTGTTATGTAGCTGAAGTCTTCTCCACGTCGATTCTTGGGTTCGCGAGAGTCGCTTATGAGGGGCGCCCATGAACTTGCGCTGCATTCGGATACTTCTTAGAATATCGTTGTACGCTCGAGGGCCTCTGTCGTATGGCGCGACCCCGTAGCAGTGGTCTCCGTCCGTTGTGGCTCGGCAGCTCGTCGCCCGGATTTGTTGTGCACGGGTTACGAGTGCGTGGGCCTCTTCGTTTCCCGAGTGTCCAGAGTGTCCGGGCACCCAGGTTAACGAGAATCTGGATCCTGTCTGCGGTGTCTTCTTCTGAAGGATCATGCGGGCTGCCTTGCCAACCTTTCCATCACCAAAGTTCGAGATGGCCGTTCTCGAGTCTGAGGTGATTGTGGCTTGTTTGGTTCTGGATGCCGCCATGGTTAAGGCCAAGGCGACGGCTACTTCTTCTGCCTCGTCAATATTCTCCGCACAGACAGAGGCCGTAGTCTTGTCGTTGGTGCTGCAGACTGCTATCACGTACTTGTTCCATGTTCTTGGGCACGGGCCTGCGTCTGCGTGGTAAACATGTTCCCGGTCGCCGTGGAGCTTGTCCAGTGCTTTGGCTCTGGCTTCTCTCCTGTCCTTATTTCTCTCGGTGTCCATATTTTTCGGTAGGGGCGGAACTCGTACCGAATCTTTCCATTCGTGGGATATTGCATTTCTGCTTGTGAGGACGTGTTGTTCACATTC